AAAAAAAAAAAGAATGAAACACTGAAGAATGACAGTGATGTGACTGGATTTACACTTTAAGAAAGTCTCTCTTGCTATAGTGAGAAGAATTGATTAGAAGAGGGAAGAGCAAAGTATAGGAAGATCATTTAGAAGATCTTCTAAATGATGGTAAGGTAAGGGCAACAGCAGAAGTGATGGAGAAAAGGGATGCGGCTTTGGAGACTGCCAGAGAGGACGTAGAATCAATAAGTTCCAAGAACCTTCTGGATTATGGTACATGTGAAGAAGAGAATGCTACTGTTAATTTCTGGGTTTTCAGCTTACAAACTAAGTCATATGGCTATCATGAGATAGTCATTTGGAAAAGAAATGAGTTTAGGTTTGCACATAATAAGGGGCCTGAGAGCTATGCAGTAAAGATCAAGTATGCAGCAGATTTGCAGGTCTAGAACTCAGAAGAGAGATATTTGGGAGTCTTCAGCCTAGAGAAGATAAGTCAAATCCTGGAAATGAATGGGACGCATGACCCAGAGGGCTGTACACCTCTGAGATAATAAGAAAGTCCAAGCCAGAACCTTAAACAACAGTAACATATAGGGGCCCCGCAAAGGATCTCTTAAAGCATACTGAGACAGAATATCCAGAGGGAGCTCTTGGAGAGAGATGCACAATGTCATCATACTGTAATCATGGCAACACAGTGATAGAAATCATCTGCTTATTTCTCTCTCTCTCCCCAAGTAAAGTGGCAACTCCTGGAGAGTAGGAACAGTGTTTGCTAAGACTTTATCCCATTCCCATCACCTAGCAGTGTGGCTAGCACATGGATGCTCATTACATGTTAATAGAATAAAACAGTGATTCAGAAGCCAAAATCAAGAACAATTCAATAAGAAAAGAAAACTCAACAATGTCAGCTTCTGCCAAGAGATCAAGCAGTTGAGGACTTTTGAAAAAAAAAATGCCCTAGTTTTGACAGAAGAGAGGTACCTTTCTCTTAGGGAGAGCAGTTACACAGGAGAGGCAGGAGTAAATGAGAAGTGAAGAAGTGGGAACAGCTATTAGCAGGGGATTTTTCACAAAATATGGGAGCAAAGTAAAGTAAGAAAGCCTCTTAACTAAAGGGGTATTATAGGGTTTAAGAAGGATAAGAGGGACTGGAGGATCTTGATGTGCTCCCAGGAGTAATAGGAAAGAAGGAACTGGAAATATGAGGAAGACATGGAATAATCAGTTAAAAGAAGTATCCATGGAGGAGATGGAAGTACAGATGGAGAACTGACCTCAATAGAAGAATACCTATTCGTTATTATGGGAAGAGAGGAGAAAATATTGAAAAGGATGCAGGTAAAAATTTGAGGGAGGAAGCAGAAAGCTGAGGGAATTCAAACAAGACAGCCTCAATTTTTTTTTCAGCAAATGAGTAGAACAGATTTTCTACTCCTAATTCCTCTCTCTCTTCCAAACTCCATATCCATTTTGTCACCAAGTCCTGCTGACCTCTCTGTTTATAAAGAGCTCCTGCATCCACTTTCGCCCTCTTGCCATTTTTCCAGTTCAGGCCAGCATTACCCACCTCCCACCAAGGTTCCTATAACACCCACTAGCCTCCTCCTTGTCAGACTCCTCCTCCAGTCTCCACAAGTCCAATCAGCGTGGTATTTCTAAAACAAAGCTGGTAACATCACTCCACAGCTTCAAATGATTTGATGACTCTCCATTATTTATGAGTTAAATTTAACTTTTTCATGTGTTCTGCAAGACCCCTGCATGATCTAAGCCTCTGCCTACCTCCCCCATGGACTCCCTCACTTCTCTTCACCTAATGCTACAAGTGCTCTACTCACTCACTGCTGTCTTTCAGACACATGATACTTTCTTGCACATATGGATGTTCATATGCTGCTGCTATGACTTGAGATGTTCTCTACCAATTCCCTCTCACCTCCACTTTTCCTGTGCTTGGTTGACTCCCTATTTATCCACAAGTTTAAATGCCATTTTCTCCAGAAAACCTCTTTGATTTCCCTACATGAGCATAGTTTTCTCTGTTCTGTGCTGCAGTTATGACACTCACCCTATATGTATAGGTCATATAGTAAGCTCCATGAGGACAAGGACCGTGCCCATTTTGTTTATTCTTGTAATGCCAGTTCCTATCACAATGCCCGTCAGAGTAGGTGTTTAGTATGTGTTTGCTGAATGAATAAACCAGTGGATTGATTAATAAATATACTGAAAACAATGGAGGAGGAATATGGGGTAAAGAAAAAAAAGTGTGAAAAATAGAAAAAAATCATCTATTTATTTATTTATGGGGGGCCCAGGTAAGGGGAGAATTTACAGAAGCAAGAATTTATAGACCTATCACTTGGTATGGCTGAAAAATCATGCTAGCTAGGGTTGAGAATATGTTGGATGGGAGGGCTCAAGGACAATGAAACAAAGTGGTAAGGAGTGAAGGGATGGTCCTTGGCATATGAGCTGGAAAGACCACACAAAGCCAGGAAGGATCAGATTAGAAAAAAAAAATCAAAGAGGTCAAGGGTAAGAGGTTATTAGAAGTTTAAAAAAACCTAATAGGAGGTAGGGCATCTGAAAGATGGGAAGATAAAGGAGGCTGTGGGCAGAGAGTGGAATGTAGGAATTTAGAATTTTAGAGATCAAATAAGTCTATAGAGTGCTCCTGGGATGAAAGAAGAAGGTAGCAGAGGTTAAGGAGGCAAAGAATCGGCGAAGCTGGTATTAAAGAGACACTTAGGATTATGGCAGGATATAGGGTGAACAGAAGACAACAGGGAACAAGAAAGTGAGCTCAGGGGTCTATGGATGAGAAAGAGTAATGGTATAAGCATTATAAATTAAAGAGTTTATTCAGCAGTTAGGATAGTTCTCCCCATAGTGTGCATATAACATTCATGACCATCTCCTAAG